CAGACTGGGAGAACTTTCAACCTCTTTCTGAAGCCTGTTCATCAGAAAACCGACCTCATGTGACCGGACCTAGGTTGTTTGATCAAGCTGTCTTCTCAATCACTGCACAAGCATCAAAGGAAAAGGAAGAATCCAACACTTATGCATCTTGCAACATGGTTTACACTTGTGATAATGAACTTCAAGAGCAATTCTCAGAAGATGAAGAGTATGGTTTGTTTGTAGAAGATCCAAACCCTGGGGACGATTCATCTGATGACAACACAGAACCAATAACCAAGAACATATCCAGAGAGAGACTGATCGAATTCAACAAGTTTGTGAAGTCCATTCCTCTCTATCTCGCATTCGACGATGTCTGGAAGCAAGGCTTCCTTCAAGTCTTCTTTAGATACAGCAAGGAGACTAAGGAGAACATCTCTACATATTTCAGAAGAGCCAGGTATCTATTTTTTCCTAGATCATCACCTGATGCAGCTGTTTACAGGATCCATCTCAAAGATCCCCAAGCAGCCAGTGATTACACAAACAAGATCAGCAAAGAAGCACTTGAAGAGTTCAACCAAGTAGTTCAGACCCTGCCAGAAGGAATTTCGTTTGTCAAAGCATGTACAGACTACATGATAGGCCACTTCTTTTGTGACAGAAAAGAATCAATCCAAGAGATGAAAGACATGTTCACACATGCCCAAGAAGGAAGACCAGTTCGAACTCTGCACAAAGTTCAAGACAAAGGTCAATTTCTTATCTCTTGTGACATTAGAGGTGAAAGATTCCTCAATATTCTTTGTGATTTTGGAGCTTGCATTAACATGATGTCCAAAGCAACTGCTTTGAGACTTGGCATTAAGCATATCTCAAGTACCAAGACAAAAATTAGCTTAGCAGATGATTTAAGTGCAACACCAAGAGGGATAGCCCGAGACATTCCTCTAAGGATTGGAGATTGCATTGCACCTGTCGATTTATACATAGTGAAGACCAAAGATGACTCTTATCCAGTTATTCTTGGATGGCCTTTCTTAGCAACTGCTGGAGCCATCATGGATTGGCCCAACATGCGAGTTTCTTTTGCCAATATCGACAAGGACATCTTCTATGAAGCTACACCACTTAAGAGCAAAAGAGGAGAGCAAACAGCTCAGGCATTTGAACCAGAAGAACTCTGGAGTGATGAAGAACCTGCAAGACAGAACAGGAGGATTTCGAAAAGGACTTGTCTTAGGACAAGATCCTATACTAAGTCTTTTTCTTTGCAAAGTCTAGCTAAGGACTATAAACCAAAGCGCTTTATGGGAGGCAACCCATTTTAGGTACTTATTTGTTTTCGTTTAAGCTTTCTTTTTCTATTAAAAGTTTTGTTTTTTTTATTTTAAACAGACCTTAGTATGATATATAAGAAAATAAAATAAAAAAAAGAAGAAAAAGAGCTGACTGCAGCCAAAGGAGGTTCGGCCGCGGCCAGCAGGTGTTTTACCGCGGCCGCGACATCCTCAACCGCGGCCGCGAAGCTTCGACCCGCGGCCAGCACAGCCGGCCACCTTGGCCACTTCCATCCACCCTTGGCCACATCTGTTCCACCTTGGCCACTTCCATCCACCCTCAGCCACCTCCAATCCATCCTTGGCCACCACAAATTCATCCTTGGCCACTTTCAGCACCACCACCACCTTGTTCAAATCAGTTTTGGATCCCTAGCATCCAAGTTTGATCAAGCATCACCACCACCAGGTAAGTTTTCTTTTCCTAATCTTTTTAATCTTCACATACTCTATTTCTCATCCTTGCCTAATTTATTTCACACTGGGGGCAGTGTGATTTAAGTCTAGGGGAGGATTTCATCCCTTTCTAACCACCTTTTTCTTGCATGAGCCATTGCATTCTGCATTTTCTTTAAAATTTTTCAAATTTTTCGATTTTCTTAAACCTTTTCAAAGTCTTTTGAGTTTCAAAAAGTGTTTCCAAAGGTCAAAAACATTTTGACGGAATAATGACAAAATCGATGATGATAACCAACCTGTTTGCTTCTACACCAATCACTCATAAAAGCACTTTCAAGGTTTAGTACTAGACTAGGCGGTAGCTAGAGTACTTACACTACTAAATCCCACCAAAGGACTTCTATTCATGAAGATCTTTTCTGCCAGGATATACTAGCTCATTTTACTTAGACTTAATCTTGACATCTAATTTTCTCATCAATGGTTTTAAGAAGGCATCATGATATACATCTAAGACATCTTTTCCTTATTGATACCAGTCTTTGTTGTCCTAGATGGCCAGTTCATCTTTAGCTGGTGCCACACCCTTAACCCAAACCTTCATATTCGAACCTCATGCATTCTCTCTTAGGTTTATATTGACAGATATGTGCAAAAACGCCGGAGAGGAAGGAACAACATAGTTTTCAGTCACTCAAGAGAAATACTGAAAGAGACCAGAAGGGAGTGTGCCAAAAATCTTATGATGCCTCAGAAAAACTCAATTTTAAAGGTAATTTTTGTGCTCCCTAAGACTCCAAGTCAAAAGGCAGTTTCCCTTTCTAAAAAGAAACAAAAAAAAATGAAAAAAGAGAAAAAGGAAGAAAGGAAAGGAAACTAAAAGCCTAAAGAGTCTTAGAAGCCGAAATTACTTGAGCCAAGACAATAGGTATTCACTTAAGGAGTTATGGATTCACAACCTAGACAAAGATCTAACTCTGGGGGAAATATAAGGAGAACCTGAAGAAAGGAGATCAGAAATCTTGAAGCAAGAAGAATGTGACTGAAACTGTGGGGGCATTTACAGTTCTATCCTCTCTTTCTGTTTTGCAAAATGTCTTGTCTCTCCATAAAAAAGGTAACCCTAAACACATCACCCTTACTATTAAAAAGCCTTTTTGATACCTAACCTTGAATGCCTTGTTTAATATCCTTTTGATGAGAACCACTGAAACCTTTAATGAATGTTAAGAGCTAGTTGACTGGAAGTTAGTGCTAAGTGTGTGGATTTTTGCATGACGGATTAACGGACTAGTTATGTTTGTATTTTGGTGAGAATTTTCTAGACTTGATCTGATTGATGCATTGTCCATAATTAAGGTCTAGAAGTATGATTGCTGATATTTTTGAGTTCCCTCTCATTTTTGTTGAATGATATTTTTCAGATTAGATCTTGTTTTGTTTGAGGACAAACAAAGTCTTAAGTCTGGGGGAGTTAATAACACCCGATTTTGACTACTTTTTACCATTGATTTCAATTGCTTTTTCAAAGGTTTTACTTTGTTTTAGGAACTTTTATTATTATTTCCATGTATTTGTAGTGTCAAGGCTCTTTTCAGGAAACTTAGGGAATATGATGGCAAAATAGAAAAAATCCACATTTTTAGCTCAGAGTTAGACCGTCCGAAGTTCAGCCTCAAATGAAGACTTTCTCACCGTCAGATCCAGCTTAAATTTTAAAACAATCAAGAGGAGACAACCAGCTTTCCATAGCACTTTACATCACAAAGATCCAACGGTGCAATCAAAAGATACATGGAGAACAAGTTGACCCAGTTCACCAGTCCCGGAAGACTCTCACCCGCGGGAAACACATGTTTTACCTGCCTTGGAAGACTCTCACCCCCAGTGGACCTTAGGACGAGCCACAAGGCCCAACATCAAAGCCCACTTTGCCATTTCTCTTCAGAGAAGCCCTAAACGAGACCTGGAAGACCTTAGAACCTATAAATACATTGTTTAGCAGCCCTAAACGGGTGTGTGCTCCTGTAATGAGATTTTGAGCCACCAAACTTTGTTTTTTCTAGGGTTAGGCGATGGAAATGGGGATTGTTCCCCAGATCCATTGTTCTTCCTCCTTTTTATCTTATTAACTTTTCTGTTTCATTCTTTTGCATTCTTCTATGTCTTTCATCATTCAATGCATCATGTAGATTAGTCCCAGAGAGTCAAGTTGTTTAAAGATATCGACAAGCATATATATCGATTAGGATTTCTATTTTTCTTGGCCATATTCTGGATCTCATCTCTTCTAAGTAATTCGTAAAGCATGAGAGTAGATTCATGACCTATTCTCTGAGCCTAGGATCGATCAGAGCCACGAGAATGCTGTATCAGATCATCCATACCTAGCTTCAGAAGAACATAGTCGCTATAGGAGTCGAAAGCTACCTATAGAGAAGATGTGAGCAGAAAAATTCAATGTCCAATGCATGATCTTAAGTTTAGCATGAGAGCGAGAGTTAATTGCTAGATCTAAGAGATTAGTTGATTAAGGTGACGACAGTTGGTTAATCATACATGTGTTATTCTAGTTCAATGCAGATTCCCAGAAACAGATGAAGATAAATCTCCCGGAAGCTAGTTGGAAATGCCACCATACATCCATTAGAGTAAACCAGAGAAGTCTAAATCGCCACCTATGAGTTCAAGAGTCTTTAGTTTGAGTCGATATGCTTTAGATGTTCTTTTAACAATTCATTCTGCATTGCATTTCTTGTGAATACTAGATTAGATTTAGGATCTTAACCAAAACCCCAAATCTTTTATTGGTTTATGAGTTTGCTTACTTCTCAGTTTGTTGTTTCCTGCAGATTAGACATCCTCCCTGTGGATCGACACCCTAAGTCCTACAACGTACATCTGTGCACTTGCAGACACTAGGGTTTTATAAATTTAAAACTTAAGGAGGACCAACGGGCTTGTTAAAAAACAACCCTAGGCCCGTAAGCCAATCACCATGAAAATATGTTCATTGTTAAAAGGAGGAATTGGTCCTCCTTAGTTTGCAGAGGAGTTGTAATTGTTAACGAGATGGCCGTCACCTGAACAATACTCATCATGGACGATGTAATGGATTGTTGGTAAAAGTGTAGCTGTGTCTGTACCAGAGTTGTGGTTTTGAGGATAGCTTTGTGTTGGATCGAACTATGATGTTCCTGAAATATATGAAATGGGAAAGCATAATTTTCGATTAGTAACAGTAAGTGAGATGGAAATATAATAGACAACAGGACTAAACTAGTATGCTGGAGTTGCTGTTGATGCCGTTATAGATAAGGCCACCAGCGTCCCACAAGTCGCTGAATAAGTAGACTGTACCTGGACCATGTTTCTGACGAAGGGTGTTTGTACCTAGAAGTTTAAAAACGGAATGTAATAGTTAATCGTAAGGTAATATTAAGACCATTTGGTTTAAAAAATGTTTGGTTAAGGCGTCAAACTTTACATTAGTGGTCATGTTTGGTTTTTCTGAAGTTATTAGGCCATGTTCTGATACCAAGAACACGGTCTGCGAATAGCATGAATTTTGAAAGAGTGAATGACGTCTGCAGACTGCTTTTACGCTTGCATTGGTTTATAAGAATGATACTTGTGGATCAATCTCATCAACATCCATTAGATTATCCAGTTCTGTATGAATTGGATAAGTAGGGACGTCTTCATGCGACTCTGAACGGTACTGGTCCACAAGGGTGAGCTGAGGATGGAATGCAGGCGACTCCTGTGTAATCATGTTATATGTTTCCGAAAAAGAAAGAGTAATTTTTTGATATCATGAGTTTAAGAAGTCCATATGGATATAGTTATTGACGAAAAAAATTCACGTGAAAATTTTAAGAAGGTTCAAATGTGTCCAAATATATATATATCCATTTGGACATGCCAATATGGTGTTGCAAAAACAGTAATCCACAGATGTCTAGATTAGATATAAGATTTAAACTTTCTGGACCTGGTTTAAAGTCCGCTCAGTCGGATCAGTCGGGTCAGTCTGTGAACTGTTGTCGGACACATCTTTTTGACTTTGAGACGTTTCACCGCCCTGAGAATGCTGACGCGCCCTTTTCCTTCTGAACCTTGATGACATCGTCCTATCCTTGAGAAATGTTTGAGGCCTGATTGGTTGCAAAAAATGTTTTTGGCTTCTAGTTTCTGGACCCGGGCCATCAATATCTCAACCTGCTTGGAAAGTATGTTGACCTGGGACTGCAAGTCGCGCGGCAGAGGCTTGAGATAGTCATGGATTCGCTTCTGTTTACGATTTGGCGGTTTCTTTGGTGTGACTTGCCTTGAGCGAAGTGAATATGGGCCAGGGGGAGACGACATCTTTGTTCTCCTATTGAGGATGTGTTTCTGGTGTTCCCTTTTAGAAATGGTTGGGTTATGTGTTGTCAATGCTTCTGTTGAATCTCCCCCGTGCCAATTCGACTTGTGGAAAACATGACCCTGTTTGACAAGAAGCTCAAGATGGTCGACTTTCTTGTCCTTAACTTCATCATCCCAATCTCCCCACCCCTCGGTATGAGGCTGATCTACCGGAATAAGCGGGTGGACAACGAGCTGTTTGAAGAATTAATCAATATATGACAAAGTCGTTTAATTAGTTTTAAGAAGGAGCGTAAGAGTGAATTAACCGCGTCTGAGAATTCAATTTCTATAACGTCAGAATGAGACAAAGCATTGCCTTTTGAGAATGGTACAGTAGTCCATTCCAGCAAGGTTGGATGGTCAGAGTCCTTTGGTAACTTAGATGGTAGTAAAGGACATGCACGGAATGCAACAAGTTGCAGTGCTAATGGGAAACCTTGCAGCTTAAAAGTAGCTTGGGGCATTTGTTGACGGAATAGTTCAACAGAAGCCTCATTTATGGTTGAACCCTTTTTCGCAGGACGCATACAGCAGATGGTCCGGTAAAAAGATTCTCAACCCAACGGAAAATTTAAAAAAATGTCTAAATCTTGCAGCATCCGGACGTAGTTCCAAGACGGTTTGTGAACTTGGGAGTTAGCGATGAGCACACCGTCGACAATAATAAGCAAAGCGAGACGAATTTTCCTACCCGTAGGCATATCTGGCTCATTACGGAGCAGCGCAGCGATGTCAGCCAACGTAGTTTTGGGATCATCACCAATTAGTTCCCTCCAGTAATCACCAGGATTTTTGGGGGTAGTGGGTTGGTAATCCGGATCGTAGTTTTGCGGGTACTCACCACAAGGCAAACGTGTGACAGTGCCAAATTCTTTGAGTCCGAAATGGAATGGTTGACCACCGAACACTATCCACAATTCGTACCTTTTTTAGTGACGAGTTGCCGGGTTAGAAGTGCGTGGATGAGTTTGCAAGAAATAGGACACCTAAGCGCTGGAAGGTCGAATAAAGGACCAAAACAAGAGGCTCTAATGAATTCAAACGCAGGAGTTCTCTTTAGCGTGTGATGAAGATGAGTAAGCAAGTCCAGTCTTGAGTAAACATTGATGCGGTTGATCGGGTTCCGGTCCGTGGCAAATAGACGGGTGGGTAGTCCTGAATCCTGCTCCATTGTGATAACTAGATAAAAAAAAGCGTAGAGAAATTTAAAGTCATCTTCGAGGACATCGGAATGAGACAACGCGAAAAACCGAACAATTGAAGTCAAAAGTACTTTGCTTAAGTTAATAATTTTAAATTATAGAAAAATTAGAGAAGATAAATTTATTACATCAGGAAATCCACAAAATCAATTACTCTCAAGAACTAGGGTTCATGGATGGTGAGTATATCAGTTGGTTTCTGAAATTGGGAAAAATTACATGGTCGTAGGAAGAGAGAAAGAGTGTGTACCTTCAGCGACGAGAAGATAAAGATGGCGGTCTGGTTGTCGGAGTCAAAGATGGCGGCGTTCTGGGGACGACAGAGGCGTAGGAAGGGAAGTTATCCAGAACTACGGAAATATTACAAAGGCAATAAAAAGGAAAAGACGGTAAGAAATGAAAAAAAAAATTAATAGTGAGGCATTATATATATCCATGGGTATGTAACGTTATGGATTGTTGTGCAGATTAGACATTTCGTACAAACATTTAAACTTTTGCATAGGCGTGCTGAGTTATACATATTGTACATCCATCAGTTATAATGTTTGAGAAATGAATTACGAACATATGGATGAGGGATTATCGAATGTAGAACAGCTAGAAGATATCGAAAACGTTATGATTAAGAGGAAGTTTAATCTGTAAGTACCAATGTATATCCATTTTCATAAGGACACATGGACACATGGTGAAGGACATGTGAGTTTCTGTTCGGATTAACTTACTAAAACATCACTCGTATGATAAGTGTATCCATTTTGCTAATGACACATGGTTAATAGGAAATCACAAGGATATATATTGATATCGATCTATAACAGTCATATCATTGGTTGAACTCATATATCATCAAGTTTTATTCATATGATAGAAGGGAAAAACAACAATAGTGAAAACCTTGAACGACAACAAAATTAAACTAAGAACATCCGAGACAACAATTGACATCAAAGCAAACTAAAAACATCTGAAAAACACATATCCAAAGCTACTTCTTCATCATTGTAAGGGATCATTGCTTCAACAACAATGAATCCTCCCCATGAAAACAACCACAAAATGGCGCAATATGATAGAAGGGAAAAACAACAATAGTGAAAACCTTGAACGACAACAAAATTAAATTAAGAACATCCGAGACAACAATTGACATCAAAGCAAACTAAGAACATCTGAAAAAAACATATCCAAAGCTACTTCTTCACCATTGTAAGGATCATTGCTGCAACAACAATGAATCCTCCCCATGAAACTACCACAAAATGGCGCAACAGTTTCTCCCTTTCTTTTGATGCCATTGCTTCAAATTCAAGCTTTTTCTTCTCCTCGGTGAACATTTCCGCAGTAACATTTGCTGAGTTTCTCGAATCGAGGCCTTGCTGAGTTTCTCGAAGAAAGGCTTCAAGCTCTCTGATTTCTTCTTTCTGCCGACGAATCTGCTCTCTAGCTTCAATTAAACGAACCTTCTGCCAACCATAAGGTTTCTCTTTGTCCGCCCACATTGAGAACCCATCTGTATCACATCTGAAGAACATTCTTCCAGGTTTCTCATCGGTCCATGACTGGGTCATTTTTGTCGGTTTTCTGCAGTGGCAAAGAATAGCTTCCTGTTGGTTGTAGTTCGATTTGAATGAGTTTGCAGATGAGGATGAGTTTTCCATTGTGAGTGTGAAGAAATTGAGAGAGAGGGTGATATGTGTGATTTAGGAGATTTAGGGTTAGATTTTAAGAATCGATTAGGAGAAGAATTACCATCGAATCCATTGAAAACAGGGGATCGGAGGTAAAACTCAAATCCAAAACTATATGTGTATATGGATACTAATTAAATCCTAAGGAAAATTCTTCCGGTCGGACAAATATATATCCATTTTTATAATGACACATGGTTAAGAAAGATTGTAAGAACCGATTTGGGGGAGAATTACCATCGAATACATTGAAAAGAACGGAGGAGAAACTCGAATCCATAACTATATGTGTACATGGATCCACATGGATATCCATTTTTGTAAGGACATATGGTTAAATAATCGTGAGTGCTCGGATGTATGATTTACTTTGTAACCAGAAAAGTATCTAAGTTAAAGAGTATCTATTTCAGTGAGGAAACATGGTTAATGTACTGAATTTGTAATCAAAAATCGAATTCGTAACCAATTCTGGGATTAGTTTGAACAATCGATAATTCACAGAAATGAATTTCTGGAACAGATCGATTGATAATTAGAAGGTGGATGATATTGGTGTTTCCACAGAGTTTGAAAATAAATAAAGTGATTTTGGCATTTCGTGTGCCCAAAAACGCGAAATCCGGGCAGGAGAAATGCGAGAAAGGTGTCTGATATTGAAATATCAGAGTGATTCATGTAGTAATTCGTGTGCCTGTATTCTCGAAATCTGAGATGGAGAAATGCAAAATTCATGAACAAGAATAGAGAGAATTGGAGGATGCAGTGAAAATCTGGGAACGAGAAATATCTCTTGAAATTTGCGATAACTGTAATTTTCATCAATCCGAGGAAGAATAAGAATACACCGGAGAGGGAGGAATGATGACCGGAGAAGATGATATAGGGTAACGGTGAAAATAAAATAGACGACCAGAAGGATGGTAAAAAAATGAGGATGTAGTGAATAATGGGTAAGTGTAAATGGAGGGTATACTCGGGAAAAATGGTGTAACAATTTGAGATAAGTCCACCAAAACACTGAAGTGCATTTGGTAGTAATAAAAAAGATTAAAAAAAGTATTTTTAGTGGTAATTATCTCTTTAATAATTTATTTAATTTCTTTCATTAAACAGGAACCAATCAAAATTTTTCACGTAAAACTGACATGCACATTTGACGTAGAATAAACATTATCATTGACATACCAGAGAAAAAAGTTTTGTTCAATTTTGTCCAATCAAATGAAAACAAATCAGCATTTTTCATTAATCTACATTATCATTTAATATATAAGATATATATTTACAACTATAAAAATGTTAGCTCATATTTATAATTGCAAATATATATATGTTAATTTTGCATAATAACTAAAATTATATTTATTTTGTAATACAATTGTAGAAATGGTAGATAATTATTGGTTTTATAATTAATTCAACAGTATTTTTTTATATGAATAAAATTGCAAATTATATTAATACGTTCTATCGAACCGGTTCAACAACATCAGACAAAGATACTTTGTTTTTGATAAAAAATTGAATAATATATATGAAAATATTTAATTTTTTTTATTATTAAATAGATAATATGTTTATTTTTTAAACAAAATTAAGATCAAAGAAAGATTAGATAAAAAAATATAATGTTTAATTACATAAATAATATTATGTATTAAATTTTTATAAACATGTTGATAAGAAATAGAAAGGGAGAGAATATCTTTACAAATTAAATATTTAACAATTAAATATAGACTTGATATAAACTAAGCTCTGACCAAATTAATGTTAATGACATATGATATAATTAATCTAGTAAGTTAAATCTACTTTTAAAAAAATTGACACATCAACATGACACTCATATAAATAATATACGAAGATTTTTGTTTAAATGTGTTTATTAATTAATAATATAAGATTTTATCAAAGCTTTTCTTACGCTCCTCTACTTCTCCATCAAGAAGCAAACACAATACGAATATACAATAATTTAGTATAATTTAAACATTAGATTTAAAAAAGCCACATAAGTTTGATTACAGAAATGCGTTCAAAGATGTTGAAAATAATAAATTGAGTTGGTCATGGGAAAACTGTGTAGATGATTCAGACGTCATACAAAAGAAACTTTAAAAATAAGGTAATTAATTGTCCTTAGTGATAAATATCCCTGGATGCAAAGCAGGATGTAACATAAATATGAAAACTATGAAAACTAGAAGTTAATCAAGCCTCGTTATAAGTTTAAACTAGAAGTACGAAGGTGTTAAATACAATATATCAACTCATTCAAACAATTAGCCCGTCTAGCTCAGTTGGTAGAGCGCAAGGCTCTTAACCTTGTGGTCGTGGGTTCGAGCCCCACGGTGGGCGTCTAATGTTTTATGTCTTTTACTTCGTCCAAGATTTATAAAAGTTAGTGTCCGTAAACAACTCATGTTTGTATCTCTACGCTGCTCCCATTCGTAAAAAGTTCTGTTCTTTTACGCAACATGGACTTATGAGGCGGCTTGTATTTATTGCATTGGTACATAATTTGAAAAAAAGAAAAGCAAGACTTCCGAACTAGTTTTTCATTTTATTTTTAATATTATCTTTTATGATATATCCGAACTGGTTTATTTGGAAAGATATGTAAAAAAATAAATAAAATTATATAAAGCAGCCCCGTATACATTTTAGAGTCTAATGTTGGAAAAGTCTGTACTGCAGACGTTTTTATATATACACATTACATATTTTTCTACGATATGATTACCAAAAACCTACACCGGAAAAAAACTGAACAACATGAAACGTCTTTTCTTTGTTACTACCAAAGCTGAGAACAAAAGCATGTCTATTAGCCGATCAGAGGAGAAGTAGGAATGATTAGTCTTTAGCGGCGAGACACGAAAGGGCAATGGAAGTTTCAGACAGCTTCAATCTTTAACTTGATGAGCTTGTCGTTGGGCTTGTGCCAAAGGTTGAAGATGGTGTAACTGAAGCTGGCATTTGTTGAGAAGCTCCTTCAGCCCAAGAACTCTCAGAAATCGGGGAATATGGCCTAGTCACTTTGTTTTTCACCATTCCCTAAAACCAATACAATAACCAAAAACATAATCTTATTTTGGTTCCCTTGTCCATGGTGTTAGGTAAATGGTTAAACAAGGGGTGGCGTCAATGTAACTAAAAAAGTGAAAGAAATGCTCTTCTAACCTTTGAAGCATTTTGCCCATACAAGTTAATGGCTTGATCGATGGCTGAGTAAACGTCAAAGGCCTGCTTGGTGTTTGGACTGCATT